CAGCTTATTCTGTTATTTTATTTGTTATAGAAAAAGTATTTCAAGTACTAAAGAATGAAATTTCAAAATTGTTATAACACTTTATAAAGAGGGTAAACGATTTACTATGTAATATCTTACTGTGTATTCAATAAAAATGAAAATTTACTATCATACTTTCAAAATAGACAAGAAGTTGTCATTATTTTTAAATACACTCGTTCTCTCAGCAGCTATCCACTGTGTACCAGTAAAGCATCTCATCATCTCACATGGAAAGTTAAAATTCTTCCACAGAAGAAGGGAAATTTTAAACTAAGACACCTGGCCTATCACATATTGGAATCTTTTTCTTTGCTCCTTGAACATCATAGGAGAAAAAGGCAAACATTAATTCTCAGAAAGGGACGATCTGGGAATTGATCGCACAGCCCTCTTTTCTTTCTGGGGGCACCATTCTTCAGTTGACTATGATACTTAAAGGGCCAAAGTTTAAAACTACTCCTCAGCAATAGAGACCATTTGGGGCATGCCACCCTGCCATAATCAATGAGTGTTTAAAAATGCTACCCATTTGTTTTTTCAATAGGTTCCAAACAAAAAACGTTCTATCTTGTTTGTGCTGCATGGCTGCATTCAGGCTCCACACCGGATTTGTAGCTAAGCTAGGTAATGGGAAGTTTTTTTTTTTTTTTAAATCTTTTTTTTCAGTTAGGCCGAGAGTTATGCATTCAAGTAAACAAAAGATGGTCTATTTTTGAAAATTAACAACGAACGCACAGGCTAGAGTGTAAGTACTGATTTCGTATTTTATCGAGCTACTAGCTCCATCATAGGCGACATGAAAGTGTGTAATACCGCAATGTTGAGTTATGATAATCAACATCTTTTTGAAACAAAAGATTTTTTTTTCCCTCCAATGCAGAATTTGATACAAGAGGTAATCTGTTCCTTTGTGGGCTGAAAAAATCTGGTTTACGCTGGTTTGAACCAGTGGAATCTCTTGTGGTTAAGCCTTCTGCTGTGACTAAAATCAAACCTGCACTGCAGAGCATGCGAGGGTTCATGCGCGCGCGCCTCTGTGTGTGAGGTGCGTCACGTGACCTCCAGAACTACCGAATTTTTTTTTTAAAGCTGATAACACGACTGCCGTCTCTGTCCGCATACAGATAACGAATAAATGCTGAACTCTATTAAACGCCCTTTACACATTATCGTGGGTCGAACACACAATTTTCTGAACTTATGATGACAGTCTATTTATTTTGCTATAAACCCTCAGCACGTAACGAACAGATTTGTGCCTGGTAATGATCTGCTCTGCCAGGGCTATATGAAATGATACCGACCTTCTTTAGATCTTGGGAATTAAATTGACCGACTTCACCCCCTGGTATGTAGCTGAAGTTTGACACACTTTATGCACAGCAAGCCCAAATCGGAACTTAAGAGAACCTTGTATTAAAAAATTAAGCAATCATTATCTGCTAAATATTGCTTTACCACAAAAATTTCCTCATGTTTAGAGCTGTCCTACTCTTTATTATATTTTTGAATCTTCTGCTTCGGATTTACTCAAAATTAACAATCAATATAATTTTGCATACGGTAACTGTGAGACTACTAAGTTCAAAACTAGAACTTAGACGTTTTATTTGCCCCATTATCACACTCCACTATGAAAGGCTTTATGGTTTCATTCTATAAATTGTTTTTTGTCCTTTTTTTGGGACAGGTTCTTACGAAAGGAAATCAAGTTAAGAAGTATTTAAGGTGTCTCTCTAAATGTAGCATCACTACATTCAAGAACTCAACTCTCAGGGAAAACAACTGTTGTTATATTAGATGGCAAATAGGATATTTTAAAAAGACACAATGATAATGTTTATGTCAGAAGCCCTTGGAAAGCTGAGAACCCAACAACACTTCAATTCTGTTCCTTTCTTATAAACCAAAAGAGCTATATTTGATTGAATGAAATAAGTGTAGATCAGAAATGAACTGATATGAGCAATTAATCTGGAAATAAGTGAAAGTGTGCATTGTATGAGGGACTTTAAAGATACATTTGAAAATTTGTGAAATGTTGGCATTTCCAATAATGGCAGAAATGTTTATGATATACTTAAGAGTAAATTAACATAATTTATAGTTAATTGGAAGGTTATAATTATATGCTTAAACAGTCAGGGTCTAGGTGCCTAAAACCCTGCATTACAAATAGCCAGAATGAGAAATGATAGCTTCTGCATTCATGTTTGTCCAAATCTTTACAAAGAACTCACTATGTAGGCAGTATGTGTATGATGCATTGAAAAGAACTAGTCAGTATTTCTTTCACCTATTTGCAATCATTGCTATTGCTTCTTATCATATTTTCTGATGTATATATTTTTAAATGACAGATATAACCTAATTTCAATAAACAAATACTTTTTTTTGATACTTTTGTTCCATTTTGTTTATCTCTAAATTTTACTGTATATTGAAAGTTTATCATAAATACATGAACAAGAAGTTCTGAAAATCAATTTGTCAACAATTAAAAGTAAACTTATTTCTAAACAGAAACTATTTTCTTACATAAATTATTGGTAATCACTCCTAGAAAAAAAGCTATCTTCATAGTTTCTGAGATACCAATTTAAAATATTTTTTCTTCAGAAAAAAGCCTCTATTGTGATTATTCAGCCTAAATAAAAACTGGCAAATAGGATATTTTAAAAAGACAGAATGATAATGCTTAAGACGAAGCCCTTGGAAAGAATAAAGTTATTTTCAAGTGACCATACCTAGTAAATGATGCGCTTTACTTTCAGAGATTTTAATTCCTATATTATAACAAAGAGCCACAAAACAAAATTGAATGACTTTATCATATGGAAATTTTCCTACAGTTGCCACAAAATATCCCCAAAGCGTGGTCTCTTTGAACTTTCAAGCCTCATTCAAATCTTAAACTTGAAAGTTCACATAAATAATAATCTATCAGTTATATATCCTCATGGTTAGAACTTATCATACTCTATTTATTAAAGTGACAGCTCCTTACAACTAAACTCCAGGTTCTCCAAGCACTTTCAGAATTTGTAAGTTTGACTTATACAAGTCCAGGGGAAATCTCTGCATAATCACTTTAAAGTGACAGAAATTTAATTTGCAAAATCCAGAAAAACATTAACTCAAATGTATTTTTGTGGAATATTTTTCTTTAGGCATAAAAATCATACTTATAAGTATGCAAGGCAAATATTTTAGGCACATAAAACGTCCATTAGGAGAAGTGAACATGCTTTAAAAAAAGGGATTCCTGTCACAGAACTACAACATTCATTACAATGAAGGAGTCTGAGCTAGACAGGAACACCCCCTTCCTTTCTATTTCCTCTACTTTAGGCAGTAGTTTCAAATGAGGGAAAGATCTATAGCTTTTTAAAGAACTGACATGGGAACTATGCGTTCACTTTTTTTTGCAAAAAAGATAATGCTTTTTTGCAGTAGGTAGGAGGAAAGTTACTACTCATTCATTCAAGAGGTATGAGCAATCTAAATCTCACTTTTAAAAAAAGAAGAAAATATTTTTCTCTCATCCTCACATTATTTAATCTATTATGAGTAAAACCCCTTCATCACATCACCCTTTTATGTTTGATGTGCTATTTTTTTCCTTTAGCTATTCTCACATTTCAATCAGGGAAGCTGAAATCCCAAGTCAAATCTGAATGTGTTTACATGTCTGAACTCAAGCTGATACATCCAAATAGTGGAGGAGTTGAGAACTTCACCAAAACAAACATCATCAGCTCAGTGATTCCTCTCCTGTTTTTCTGGTTTTGTGTGTGTGTGTGTGTGTGTGTGTGTGCGCACGTGCGTGCACAGAGGTGGGAGTGGGGTTTTCCTCACAAAGCAACATCCCTGTTTACAATATTAACATTACAGTAGCTAGGAATATAGTATCAGCATATACGGTGATATTGTATCAGCAAATATAATCTATTTGAAATGGTAAATACAGTTATGCACTTTTTTATAATGTGTATTGATATGTTGTTTAACTATCTTATTAAAATTTCAGTTTCTCCAGTGAATGATTTATGTTCAGTTTTATTCAGGCAGAGTAGAGATCTTTATCATACTTTCCAAAATAACATTAATAAACACATTCAAGTCTTGCTTGTGAAGTTTCCTGTCATCATTCCGTCTCTAAATCATCTTTACATTCTTTAAATCATCTCTACACTCAAGTTTTGAAACATTTTTAAAAAGTCATATATTATCAATGTAAAATTATGAAGTCTGTAGTATTAACTTAAAGAAAGAAGTAGGACATTAATTAGACTAATGACACTAGAATGTGATCCAATGAGAACTGACAGCCCAAGTTGTAAGGCCCTTTTAAGAAGAAACTATCTTACTTTTTGTCTACACAGATCTTAAAATGCAAAAAAAGACTTATCCTATTATTATTATTATTACTATTATTTGACAGAAGCAAGATAATATTACCATTATCTGGGTATCCAAGTTGGCACTGGTACTTAAAATTTGCATTTTGGTGAATGTATTTTTAAGAAGCTACACAATAGGAGACTGAGCTGCGCTGTTGAATTTTGAAAGCTTACTTTCATTTGTTTTGCTGCAAGTGTTGATTTAATTATACTGCATTATTATCAAAGCTGTATTATGTACTTTTTTATTCCTTTTACATGTGTTTGAGGTGAAGACCTTGGCTTTGTCTGCAAACAGTGTGTTTCAAGTTATTCCTTAAGTACTAAATAATAAAGAAAAGAGAAGAAAAGATTTTTTTAAAGATAGCAGACAGTGATCACAAGGTAAAGGGTTAAATGTAAGATCTCCAAGAAACATTTTGAAGTTGATTAAGACTCCAGCTTTGCATTAAACAGTATCGCTTCCACATGAGTTGCTGCTAATACTGTTAAGGAGCAGCTTGAGAGCCCAGTGTGCCTGTGACCTCCTTCACCCTCCAGCCACCCACCGGGCCTTCCTGATTAGCATTCTACCTGGTTCTCTGAGGAATTCCCATCATCCCCTAGGAGCTCATTCCGTACTTCGTCACTGTAGGCGATCCGTGACCTTTTCTATAAAACAAAACAAAAAGGGAAAGAGGAGAGGAACGTTAGAAAGTAAAGGCTTCGAAGCGTTATGGTATCAAGGCTGATCATCTCAAACCTCGAGAGCCCCCTAATGGAAACCTATCTATTGGCGAAAATCTGCAAACCAAAGTTGCCTAAAGTTCCTGAACTTGAGTAATTTAATGTAAATAAGAAGTTTTTAAAAATGTCAATAATGAAAGAAAACTGCATTGTGCACATATTCTATTAATATTCATAAATGGGTTAGAACTTGTATATCATTCTGTACATCAACAGTCAAATAAGACTACTAAACTGAAAGAAATGGAGCTAAATAGCTGAATATTTATAAACCTTAGATTGTAATTTTAAAAAACTGTATATTGTAGCAGGAAATAGACTGTATAATTTAGAGCTTTTAAAATTCTAATTCTATGATAATAATTATATCTCAAATTTTACTCTGGAATCCCTGGCCTCACACATCTATATTTCTTTCTTTATTGTGATGCTACTAACCAGAAAGAGAAGGATTTTAAAACTTATCCCCTATCCAAATAATAATTTAAATATCTCCAACTTCTCTATAAATTATGGCCTAATGAAAAGGAGTATGTGTGTGTGTACACAGCCTGTGTCTGTCTGGTAAAGCAAATTAAAATTTTCAATCCCAGTAAATAAAGGCTAGCAAGCTATGAGTCAACCTTTCACAATCCCAGTAATAAAGACAAGTGGGCTGAGTCAATGTTTCACGCACTGAAACTTTGTTTTACAAGAAATCTACCTGCACTTGTAAAGTTGGAGCGGCATGTCTGCAAGCAATTAATGAATTATCTAAACGTATATACAATTTGGAAAAGGTAAATGACTCTGAAAATTAGTTGTGAAACTATATATGGTCCTCAGTTCCTACAGCATCTTCACTATTTCAGACCCAAATTCAGATTTACAAGTTACTTTGTAAGCTTTTCTGCTTCTGAACTAAACAAAAATGATCAGTTAGAAAACAGAGTCATCTCTTTCTCACTTGAATCTACACTTTGAGACATAAATTTCTTACCTGTTCAATTGTGGTCTGAAAAAGCATTGTAGTTGAAAAGGACTATCCATAATCCATGAGCAGAAGTCAACAATAAGATTTCCATTACATTTTTAGACTAGTGAATAAGTAACACTGCTTGGCCACATAGAGATCATAACATCATAGACATGAAATCATATCATACTGGAATTTAAAAGGACCTTAGACAAGAACAACCAAAGGACTTTTTCTCAATCTTTCCAAGAATGGCACATAAGAGAGAATTTAGTTCATTACATACTATTTAAGACTGGGGGCTTACAGTTCTAGCAGAGCACAATTAAAAAAGGCTCAGTGGAGTATAAATAAAATAAAAAACCTACAACCCCCCTTTTTAGGGAAAAAAAAAGTTTCATGGAGTTCTAATAGTATGGTCATGATCAAACTGAGACTAGAATTTAGGAGGCCTGTTTAAAAAAAATAAATTGCTCCCTATTCTATTACCCTATGGAAAGACACAAGGGAAAAACAGCACAAGAATTGCAAAATGTTTCAGTATAAAGGAGATGGTGGCATCCCCTTCCTGCCCTGAGTCTCTGCTCCAAGACTATCACAAACATACACCTTTGCACTCACAACAAATATGTAAGGAGGTAAACAAAACTACCACAATATTGTGGGGAGGACAAATTAGAGAAGTTGCCATTAGCCTGAGATCAATAAAGACAACTATATCAGATCTCCTGAAAATTAGGAGTGCCCCAACTCATTCATCTATGAACAAACCTGACATTTTTATCACCACAAGCAGCATATATTAAGGTTGTGTCTCTTATTGTATTTACTGAAATTACTATTAATTAGTTATTTCTATTGACTTTATGCAGAATTGCATTTTAAAATGCTAAGTTACAAGGACAATCTACTTCATGGCTTTAATACAACATTTAGACCAAGCTAAAGCTTTCTTTTGCCCATTTGGAGCTCTCCAGTATAGTAGTTTCAAACTAGCTAAGCAAAAGTATTTTATGGCATTAAAGGGAATGAGAACCTTTAAACAGGCTGTGGTATCAGAGCTGCCTTTTTAATTATTCATTTCATCACTATGGGGGACTAAAACATTCCGCAGTATGCAAGAATATCATATGGAGATTGTTTTTGTTTTTTTCCTTTTTTCAACAAAATACCAACAAATTGGCATAGATTGTTCAATTACATTATATCTTATTTTGATTTAATATACTAAAAAAGAGGAAGAAAATTACAAGTGTGTATCCCTTAAATATCTAATCTTGTTTTGGTTAGATTGTACTGCAGAATGTACTGCTTTTGAAAACCAGCAATTAAGAGCATGCATGCTTAGCAAGAGGAGACCTAAGGATTATCTGCAGTTGAGGGGTGGTCCCTATCAATGTCATTCTTTACCACTGGGATGGTAAAAACTGGTCATTTGGATGGCTTTTCTAGATGTAATTAAGCAAATGATATGCTGAGTTTAACAAAGTATTCTCGGACAGGATTGACTTTTCTTAAAGAAAAGACAACTCATTTCAAATAACAAAAATAGTTCTACCCCTTGGAAATGGCACAGTAATGCTAAAATAGAACTCTTTTCACTTGAGTTTTGTCTTATAAAAATAAAACAAATCATTACTTTGTTTTATTAATAATTATATTTTAATGCCCAACATTGGTTATTTTCTTATATTTTCTAATGGTTTAAAATTTTCAGTAAACAGATTGATTGTATGTAATCAGACATAATTTAGCCTGCAAGACCATAACTAAACTAATTGGAAAAAAAAGGCAAAATTCCTCTGAATGACAGACTGCTTATTTTAGGAATAATTTTCCTTCAAAACATCAATAAGTTCTGCTATCTTTTATGGAATTAAAAAAAAAACCTCATGCTACACTTCTGAGTATCTAAATAATATTTTAATTTAGAGGATTCAAAGTTAATGAAACTGAAATCTCTGTTGTATCTTGATAAACTTAACTAAAATATTTTTACTTCATTATCAACAGTATAAAATCTGTACTTTAGCCAAATGCAAGCATGAGAATTTGAGCTGGAAATGTCACACATTCAGCTACAGTTTGAAGGAACCCAATTCATAATGCATTTTATAAATAGTTAATGACTTCTATACATAAGCTAACCAGGCAAATCAAGAAATTGTCAACATTTTTAGTCTTAGTTGTCAGTTCCCACTGTCTACTGGTGCTTTATATGTGGCTCTGGAAAAGACAGAAGCTCTATGCAGTTTGTAATCTACTTCAGTTTCTGGTCTATACCATAAGGGTGAAAAAGCTTCAACTGCCAAATCTCTCTCTCTCTCTCTCTCTCTCTCTCACACACACACACACACACACAGGTGTGCACACACAAAGAGTATTAAATACTAAAACATTTAGGTTTTACTTGTATGCTTATGTAAAGCTTATTCTTTCTGACTTTCATGGTGGACTAGATACAGTTGGTTAGAGAATCTACAGATCATATTGGACAAAACTATGAAAAATTAACCATTGATTGTGACCTAACTCTAAGAAGTTAGATGCACAGTTTCAATGACTATTTTAAACCCATGACAAAAGCGAGTCTGTGGTTATAAAAGCAAGAATTTCAGATTCAAAGAGATTGTCAGTTTTTCACCTCATATATGAATAGGATTTTTGCATACCGATTGGCTGATTTTCTTAAAGTCAAGTTCAAATAGATACACTTTTCAGGTCTGACTGGAAATTTGGCTTGAAATAATCTATCTACTTGACCCAAGCCTTAACATTTCCCAATTGAGCTGAATGTGTTCATGGACAGGCACTGCTAAATTAGAGACAAAATGAATTAACTTAGCTTAAATTAATTAAAACTTGTGACCTGTGGTCCTGTCTCTTGTATGATTCTGTATGTGAAACAGGGTATATATAACCAGAATGAGGATTCTAAAGCCCACCACAAGCAAAAACATAACAATGAAGTTGGTTTATTACTAAAGCGTATATGAGAATTTAATTTCCATGGCGTGCACATGGCAAAGCAATTGCTTAAATTGCCTCACCTGGGAATTTAATACAATGTTATCATCAGACCAGCCACATTGTAAATAGATTTATAATGCTTTCCATGTGCTGTTCTCTGTTGCATATGAATTAAGTAATGATCTGGTATTACAATAAAATCAGCTAGTTCCCACACCTGGCAGACAGGATATTTCACTAAATTAATACCCATACAGCCACATCACAAGGCATGGGAAAGGAAAGCATCTCGGAGGCATTTGACTTGAGTTTTACCTGGGAAGTGAATACTCCCTGGCCATGTACAATGTCACTGCACTGACTGGGCTGCTCAAGACAATCTGTTTCTAACATCTGCATCACAGAATTAAGACTTTCTCATTCCCATTCAATTTTAGCCTAGTTTCCTTCATTCAGGACTTTAATTACTAATCAGGGATCCGCAATATTCACAAACACCAAGAATGCCCTTTATTCTAATCTATGTGCTGCAGACAGCCAAATAATTGATACAAAGTGCAGTTTGGTTTTGGTAAGTAATGAAAGAACAGCTTGTCCTACTTCCCAATCAAATTGGTCTATCAAAGAAATGGTTAATAGATTTCTCCGTAGTTCTAAAACAAATTACACAGTCTGGCCAGACTTTTCCATTCCTTCTACCATGTTTTTCAGTCCCCATATATTTAATAATGCCCAAGGTTACCAGGTGATACATCTATTAAAAACTGCTATGCTTTCATAGCCAAAGAATTTAACTGCTCCTGTTATAATTAACACTTTGGGATAACTACAGAATATGGTGAAATTATATTTATTAGCTAGCTATATAATTTCTGGCATTCATTTCTTACCTAATTTTATCTGGTTCTAATTAAATAATATCATAGCACTATAAGACCCAGATGGCATTTTCAAAATGTATCTATCATTGGCACCAAGTATTCCATTTTTAACCTCAAAA